CAGCGGGAGGTGTGTTGCGCGATGTGGCTGTGGCTTGCTCAGGACGCTGGAGATAAACCCGCCGGAGGTGCTGACATTCAAGGGGCCGTGGACGGTGAAGATCGACAACTACGCGTTGGGAATGGCTTTGCTGCTGTTTGCTTCGGGGCGTTTCATTTGCCGGCAAAAAGACTTGCCGCTGGCAGAGGCGGCGCCGCTGGTGATGGAAGATGTGCAGCGGCTGCGGAGGTCACCTCCCCCCCGGCTCTTCAGAGCTTCTTACGAGGCCTGGGATGTCTTCGTGGGCCTGACTTCTTCATCTCCCGAGAGGCGCTGGTCTTTAGACGATGTGCTGGAACACAGCTGGGTGGCCCGCCAGCTGCTGCAGCTGCCGCCTGCTGCCTACGGCTTGCTGTGGCATCCCAAGGTCAAGGGCCTCATGGCGGAGTTGGTGGCGGCCCGCCGCATAGTTTCTGCCCACACGCCTCCCCAGGCTGTCGAACGCAGCACTGTTGCTTATGTGCAGCAACAAAGGGAGGTCCGCAGGAAGAGCCAGTTCCACCACCAGCAGCAGTTTCTCAGGCACCAGCGCCGCATCCTGCAGCAGCACCACGCCCTGCAGCAGTACACGCAGCGGGTTGCTGAGCGCAAGAGGCAGGAAGCAGCAGCAGCTGCAGCAGCGGCAGCTGCAGCGGCTGCGGCCGCCGCTGCAGCTGCAGCAGCAGGCGCCCCAGCAGTTGCAATCGCAGCAGAAGCCCCAGCGCCACCAGCTCCTCGACCCCCACCTGCAAGGACTCAGCAGGCTGGAAACCCGCAGCCAGCAGCAGCAATAGCAGCTGCAGCAGTTCCAGCAACTGCCTCACCCGCAGCAGGCCCTGCTGTGGTGCCAGCTGTGGTGCCAGCCAAGGTAACTGTAAATGCAGTGCCAGACACAGCAGCAAAAACAACTGCTAGTATACTAGTAGGGACGAATGGCCCGGCACTTGCAGCAGCTACTGCAGGCCAGACCTTTAAGAACCCCTCAAACATTAGCAGAAATCCCCCACAAATTAATAGACGAGGCATCTCTGAGGTTAGCGCATGCTCGACGGCAGAGTCTGTGCGTTTCACTGCTTACAAGCTCATGGGTCAGCAGCAGCATCAGCAGCAACACATGCAACAGCAGCTGCAGCAACAACAGCAGCAGCAGCAGCAAGCATCAGCAAAGCAACACGAAACAGCAGCCACGGCATTGCTTCAAGGTGGAGGGTGCCGGCAGCAGCTACTGCGCTCCCCTGCGTTCCTGGTGGGGCCCCTCCCTGCAGAGGCCTGCTCGCAGCTAGCGTGGCAGCAGCAGGGGCAGCAAATTCAGCCGAAGCTGCAGCAGATTGACCAGCAGCTGCACAAACACACGTTTTCAAGGGAAAGCCCCTGCCGCTACGCACTCGACAGGCGGCACTTCCCAAGTATGTCCTCCTCAGATAAACGCATTGAAACAATCTTTGCAAGCCCCTCAGATCTGCAGGAGCGGCTGCAGCAGAAGGCCAGACAAGTTGCTGCGAGACAAGTTCCTGGATCCCTTGCAGGGCCATTTTGGTCCTATGATGCATCAGAGCAGCTAGACAGGGGGCAACCTCTGCGGCAGCAGATGCAGCAGCAGCAGCAGCAGCAGCAGCAGGTTCTCAAGCAAAATCAACCCAGTCTACAGCTGAATAGCGAAACCACCTCTCCACAGTCCATTAGCATACACTCTCAGGGGGCAGCAATTGCGCTGCCGGTGCAGCACAAGCAAGATACGCAGCAGCAGCTGCACCTCCAGAAACAGCAAGAACAGCTGCAGCAGCGGAGGGTCACTTGGATATCGCCGACCAGTGATGCAGATAGCAACACTGAGACACATGGCCAGTCCGACAATGCTATATTTCATGGACTCAGCAATGAGGAAGCAAAAATGCAGCAAACCGCAGCATCGGGGGAACGAGCAGCCCAGGAATCGAGACAAGCAAAAGGAGAAGCGGCCGCATCAGTAGCTGACAATCCAGCAGCAGCAGCAGCAGCAGCAGAGCCCCATGAAGCCTCTCCCGTGACAGCTTGTGCCCGCTGGATTCGCTCGGGACTGGGCACAGTGGCAGCACTGGCGACGCCGCGCCTTGTGCAGAGGCTACCAGAGAAGCAGTATCATCAGCAGCCACAGCAGCAGCAGCAGCAACAGCAGCAGCACCGCGTCGTCGAGTCAAGGGGCTACTGGAGAGACAGTAGCGCCCAAGGGACCAGAGAAGCAACTTGGCGGCGCGCAGTCAACGCCGCAGCAGCACTTCTAGGAGGAGCAAATCCACACGGAGTCCCAGGAGGCCCGCGCCCCTCCTACACAGCTGATACCTGCAGCACTGCAAGAGCTGCTAATCTAGGCCGGACTTGGGGCCGGCGCTGCGTGCGTATTGGCCTGAGGGCTCCTGCAGCGCTCAGCAAGGCCCCTCTCATGGGGGATGATGATGCAGCAGCAGCAGCAGCAACGGCCACTCGGCAAGAGGCTGCAGTTTGTAGACCGCCAGTTACTCGGAGCATCTCCTCCATAGAATGCCCGGGGGAGCTCAGAGCTCTGGAAAGACTAGCCCCCCAGAAGTGCGAGGCTTTACTTGCTGTGCCGGCTCCTCTTAGCGGCAGCGACCGCAACAGGGGCTCTACTGACAGCAGCAGCAACAAGTGCAGCAAGAACAAGGACGACAACAGCAGCAGCAGCATCAGTAGCAGCTGCGGCCACAGCAGCAGCGCGAGGGACAACAGAGAAGGCGTGTTCGCACCCGACAAAGACGCCTGTGGAACTGAGCCCTTCGTCTCTCAGCTTCGCGACGGCAACCCGCAGCAACAGCCCCAGCAGCAGCAGCAGCACGAGCAGAAGCAGCTGCAGCAACTTCAAGGGCAGAATCAGCAGCATCAACTGCAGGCGCACTACGACTACAGCTGCCAGGAAAGCAGGCCTACAGTTCCTCCGCTGCACCTTGTGGACCTCCCCATCTACAACTACAGTCCCAGCAGGTGCGCAACAGAAAGAAGATACAGCAGCAGAAACAACAGCAGCAGCAGCAAAGTGATTTTCGCGGAGACAGCACAGGCTGCCTTCGAGAGGTCTCTCCCAACAGCAACCCCGTGGGCGCCGTCACCTGCAGTGGCGCCCAGCAGCTGCAGCAGCAGCACCCCGCCCACAGCGCCCAGTGGCGACAGCAGCAGCTGCAGCAGGAACAGTAACAACGGAGCGCCAGACCGATCTCCCCTTACAGCATCAACAGATGGCAGCAGCAGCAGCACAGGCTGCCAGCTTTCTCAGGGGAGGATCTACGCTGCAGAGATCTTCTGCACTCCGAGACGTCCGCATGCGACGGACTTTGTGCAACTTGTTCCTTCTGCTGCGGCGCATGCAACTTTCAGCCACCAAGAAACAAGAGACACTTTAGCCTCTCCAAGGGGCCTCGGAGGCCCCCAAAAGGCAGACGCAGCAGTGGCTGTTTGCCCGATTCCATTGCAGCGTCATAACATCAGTGAAATCTTGCTGCTAGCACAGCAGCAGGAACTCGAAAGACAGCAGCGACAGCTGCAGCAGCAACACAGAGAGCTTCAGCTGCAGCAGCTGGAAATTGAGTGCAAACGGAGGCAGCGGGAGAAGCAGCAAAAAGAACTGCAGATGCTGCAGCTCCAGCTCCACCAGAAGCGCGCGGTGAGGCTCATGCAGCAGCAGCAGCAGCAACAGCAACAAAAGCACTTGTGCATATCTACACCACAAGAACACGGGCAGCCAGGCGTTCTGCAGCTGAAGAGAGCTGATGAAAAGGAGGAAACGCAAGACCAGCAGCTTCCTCCCGTCAGCAGCAGAACTCTCGTCTTGGGGTGCCTAGAGGTCTCAGAGGCTGATGGCCCTGGTGAAGGGACCTCTCACGGTGCAGCAGCGATTACAGCAAACCCAGCAGCGCCCGCAGCAGCAATGAGGGGCAACAGCAACTCAGCCAGCAGCAGCCAAGAAAGTCCTTCAGTCTTGAGTCGTCGCGGCGTCGTTGTGCCTCGCCTGCAGCTTGCTCACGTGGTAGCCCCGAACCTCCTGGCTGGTGGCCTTGCGCCCGGAGCAGCAGCAGCAGCACCCGCAGCAGCAGCTGCAGCAGCTTCCCCAGACACGGGCCACTGCAGCAGCTTCAGGGTCGCCCCAGCATCCGGGTGCAGCGCTGCAGTAAACCCCGCATTCCTTTCGGGCTGCAGCGTGTCTTCCAATGCAGCAGATACCCCCCGTTCTGCTACTGCTAGCCCCCGGTGTCTTCCGCGGAGTGCCTATGGCCTGGGAAGGTATGAAAGAATTGGAGAGAGCGAGCAGCAGGAGCAGCAGCAGGAGCAGCAGCAGGAGCAGCCAGAAGCTCCGTCCTCAGCAGCCGCGGCTGCTGTTTCCTTCTTGCAAAGGCTTGTCAAAAATCCGCTGCAACAACTGCAGCAGCTGCATCAACAGGTAGACCAGTGCCGACAGCAGCACAAAAGCGCAGCGACAGCTGCAGCAAAAATTACCAATTGCCTCATCTCGGGACAGCCCTGCACAGATCAGGCAAGGCAACAGCCTTGTGAACGCTCCCAGCAGTTGCAGCCGCCGCAGCACCTGCAGCAGCAGTTGCAGCAGCAGCAGCTCCCAAGGCCCCAGTCACTCAACCCGTACGGCAGCTGCTCCGCAAGGAGCAACAGAGCAGCCGATCTCTAGCTTTTAAGCTGGTCTACAGCTAGCAGGTTTAATATCTAACTTGAAGCCCTTGTGAGCTTCAGTAGTTCTTTGGCAGGCCTGTAGCGCCCGCAATTGTTTTGGATTCGACTGTCTAGACACCCGAGCCACAGGGTACACCTGCCCCCGGGCGGAGCTAACGAAGACTAAATTCAGAACAAACTCTTTAAAAAAACAACTTCCAAAGCCAAGCACCGAAATAAACAATGAAAAAGAAAAAGCCACGAGGCCGGCGCAGCTGAATGTGTAGAGCCGCTCGTTGCTGCGCCTCATTGAAACAAACTCAGCAGCATCTCTAAATTGTTTCCCAGACAGCCTCCGCGTTGGGGACAGCCCCGGGAGAAGACAAACTCGTGGCCTCTTGGGGGGTCGCAGGGGGGGGCGATTTGCTACTTCTGGCTGTGAGCCCAACCTGCTGCTGCTGCACCTCCTGCAGCAGCTGCTGCTGCTGCTGCTGCGCCCGCTGTTGCAGCTGCTGCCGCCCTAGAGGGTGGTCCTGCTTGTAGGTAGCAGCGTAGAGAATGGCCTTAAATAGGGCTCTCCACTTCTTGTAGGCTAGCTGCAGCTTTGCATTGCGCGCCTGTTCCCTCCTCCTGGCAGCAGCTGCTTCTCTTTCCGCAGCAATCTGCTGCCACCGACTGCGCACTGCTGCTGCTGCTGCTTCCACCACTACCACCCCGTCGCGCACAGCCCGCCAGGCACCCCCCACTTCCCGCTCAAAACCCACAACAGCAGGGGCCCACTTGCCCTCCCCGGTGGACCCCAAGACTTCTGCTGCTGCAGTCTGCAGCGCCTGCCCCAGAGACGCTGCGCTCAAAGCCGATCTGGAGTTCTCCCGCTGCCACTCGGCCACGGACAAGTGGGTCGCCCCCACGGGCACCGGTGCCTGACAAAGCACCAGGCAGCAGCAGCAGCAGCAATAGCAGCAGCAACTTGGCGGGACACACACTGAAGCTGGCAAAGGGAAGCAGTAGGGAAAGGGCAGCTTCTCTCACTAGCTCGCCAACTTCTATGGTCCCCTGAGGCCCCACAGGGAGACGGCCATCAGCGACTTTCTGTCTTTTCATGGGCTCTGTCTGATATTCTGCAAAGAGGCCCACTTCCTGCGTCAGTGGCTGCTGCTGCTGCTTCTGCTGCTGCTGCTGGAGGGCCGAACGCAGACAGGGGTTCTTAGCTTTTAGCGCCAAGCGTTGGTTGCTCCACATTTGCTGCAGCGCCAAGTGCTGCTGCTGCTGCTTCTCCTGCTGATGCCGTAGCAGGTGCGGATAGCGGTGCAGCACCTGGGCAGTGGAGAGCGAAGTCAAGTGGGCTGAAGGCTGCCTTAGCTGCAACACAGAATTTCAAAACAAATCTCCTTGCATTTTTGTCTTCTATGTTCAATCTTTTGTATTTAATGCCAACCAAGGAATGTAGGCTTTGCAGGACAGCCTTTGTTAGGGACTGCTGCTGCGGCAAAACCAGCTGCAGCAGCAGCAGCTGGAACTGCTGCTGGCGCAACAACTGTTTCAGGCGTTGCAGCAGCAGCAGCAGGAAATGCTGCTGGTGCAGCAGTTGCTGCAGCAGCAGGAACTGCTGCTGGTGCAGCAGTTGCTGCATATATTGCAGTAGCAGCAGCAGCAGCTGCTGCTGCTGGCGCAGCAGTTGGTGCTGTGGCACTAGAGGACTAAGGAATAACATGTGGTCCGTCTTACAGGTCCCATTTTCATGGTCTTGAGAGGCTTTTCTTCTTCTTTGACTTGGCGGTGCTCCCGCCGCCACTGCCTGGCTGTCTTCAGCAGCAGCACATCTCGCCGCAGGTAAACAGCTTCGCCCTCGAAAATGCCAACACCTTGGCTGCCGGGGGGCAG